TAGTAGTAGTAGTAGTAGTAGTAGTAGTAGTAGTAGTAGTAGTAGTAATAGTAGTAGTAGTAGTTCTCTGCTCAAAAAATGTTTTCGCACCCACTAAAAAGCTTGCAAACACATTTTGATGTATTTGTATTAATTTTGCGGACACTTATATCCCCTCCCACTTTACTAATTGGGATTCGACATGACCAAATTTCATGAAACCCATAATTTGGCATTGGCTCAAATCGCAAAGTTTAAAGCTTCAAGCTTGTGTTAACCTTGGGGTCAAAGGCCTGAAGACTGATGCAAAAACTGAAAGCTCCGTCATCTTGGGATTTCAACAAGTTCTTTTCGAGTGTCGAAGAGTTTTGCTTCGGTCCAACCTCTTTTCTTGGCACTGTAGTCGAAGAGGTCATCAAGGCAAAAGTTGTTCACAAATCACAGAGTTTCCTGCTGTTTGTCAAGTTCACTGTGACTTGTGTGCACAACTGATGGTCTTGTGCGTTTAGCGAAGATCACTTCCAGGAATGGAAACTTGGTGCTCACAGAGTTTGGTATTTGATATTCAACAAGACAGTCCCGGCCGATCTTGTGGGCCCAGCTGTTGCAGGGTTGAAGCATTGAGTTTTGGCAGGGCAAGCAGCGTGGCGCGTAGCGGCGTAGCCTTTCTGTCAGGCATTTGGTGGAACAAGATGAGGAATTGACTGGGCGTATCACACTGGCCTCAACCATTGAAAGCCTGAAGGAGCCTTGGTATGGACTTTTCAGCCGACTCGATCATGGCGTGAAATTCATCGACAGGTCCATTGCGACAGATCTGTATACAGGTCTCGACCACCCCTTTCAGACTATACATCACTGTACTAATTACTTTGAGATGTTCACCAAATAAAGCAATTTATGTGTCTTAATTCTTGTATACACACAATCTTTGGAACTCGGCACTAGTTTGAGGCCAGTTCCAGTTCCACAGACAGACTGCGTGCAATTGCGCTTTGTAGCAAACAAAACACACCCATTCCCAGACACTCCATGTATATGGCATATTTGCATACATTGGGGTGCTTTCAGGGGCCAATATGTATATTCCATACATTGAGTGTCTGGGATTTGGCGGACTTCTCCGGTCGCTGGATCGCGGGTCGGAGAAGGCCAAGAGAGAAGCCGGTGTGTTCCACCATCGAAGACGGCAGAACGGGCTGGATCAAGGAATGATCTCTCCATCAAATTCCGAATCAAGAGGTTGCCAGATAATTAGAGAACATAGGTGAAAAGGTGAGTGATACCTCATAAATAGCTGCTTTTCGAGTCGTTTTGGGGATCACATCAGAGATTTGGATTCACGGCCAGTCGACGGCCACTTGAGCCACGGATGTCAGGAACAGTTAAGAGGCCTGAAGATCTCTGACGTGCATGGCTTCTTGCTGGGAGCAGCTACGCACTGGCCGGACGAGCAGACTCGTGGTGTTTTGTGTCGCGTGAAAACGACATGCAAGGAAGCAAAGTCAGTTGGAGTTGGGCCGTATCCCGATATTGGTGTTCGTTCTTCTCGCATCTCCCCCTCCGTTTTTGTGCAAAGAATGTGGTGGTTGATTGATTTCTGTCGGGAGTGGGCTCTTGGATGACCACTTTCGAAGAGGTATAGTGCTGCTGTGGTGCGTCAGAGCACTGGCGTGCGTATCTATTTCTTCGACTCCTACAACGTGCCTTGTGCAGAACATCTTCATACTTCTCAACGTTGGTAGTGCAAACTGTTTGAAGATGTTTGAAGAATTACTATTTCCTGAATATGAAGAGATGAAACGAGGTTCTCAAGTGCATTACGCATTTCACGGCGTTTATTACTGCCGCGGTGGGTCAATCTTCCTCTTGCAAGTGCGTGCACGTGGGAATGTGCTTCTCTACCAAACGTTTACAAGTGGAGGGGCATTTGAAATGTGTGGGTGGTGTAGATTGGCCAGAAGCATTTGTATTAAGGAGGCGCTGGAAACAGGCAACTGCACAAGAACTCAAGATGAGAAGACTATTGCTGCCATCCTGGTATCCATCTTGTCAAACTCAAGCCGCTGTTTTCCTCCTGCAGATTGAAAGACAAACACATTGTAGATCATTTTAGAAATTGTGTTTGCTTCATATGTTGCACTGGAATATATGAACATCCAAACATTGAACCGAAGATGGCACATAACCAGAAGTACGACTACCCAATCTTCAGGTGCCAAGACTGGCGAACATACTGAACATGAAGAACCAACAGGTGATCCCCGAATAGATAATTAGTGGCACGGTTCCCTACATTTTCTGTGTGGGGATCTACTTTTCGATCTATTTGGGGGGTCTATATATATAATATAGCCTGTTAATGCTGTTGAAGCAGAAGAAAAGTTCCCTGCGGAGGTTCCAGTGGTCAGTTTGCGCTCCAACGAAGACATCGAAGGCCTTGTGGAGCAGCGGTTTCCTGGAGTAAGTTAGAGCGGAAGTCTCAGAACTACTCTAGATTCGTTTAGAGATGTTTAAGGGTAGGGACCCATGGCAACGTTTAGTATTACACATTCCAAGGTTTGTAAAGGGGTTGAAGTTCCGCTGTTTGACCTTAGCCCCAAATTTGCATTTCATAAACCACTTGCGTGTATACTTGTATGTATATAGTTGTTTGTGGGTTCAGGTACTTGCTCTTTTGTAAGATCATGAGTCACGAGCTCAAACAAACACAATGAACACCAGAGAAACACACAGTTCCTCTTCCTAAAGATGCTCTTAGATGGAACAGATTCATACCAACAAAGTGCAGCCCCCAAAAAGGTTGGCATCTCAATTCTGATCTCTTCTAACTCTTCAGTCTACTCGTTCGCTGCATCCTCCTCTTTTCCGTGACTCCTGACCCGGACCTTCCGGACCGTCCTGAGGCTTCATCAAAGCCGTAGCCGTACCATGGAGTCACTACGCAAGGACCCGCCACTGGGCGCCCAAAGAAAGTGGTCCATGGACCCGGTTTGGGAGAACGTCCGGGTGTGTTTTTGGAGCCGAAGACGGGTGGAGCGGTCGGCGGTTTGGCCGTTTGGCCCGAACCCCAGGCGGATCATCCGAGATAGATGCGGAGAGAGAGAGAGAGAGAAACAGATGACAAGCATGGTGATTGAGTAGATCAGTAGATCCAAGGAAAACTGAGGTTCCTCTCCGTCGAAAACGACGTTTTCTTAGATTTCACCCGGGCACTGTGGGTAGAGGATCACTTGGTTTCTAAGGCACTGGGCCCACCGCCCCCAAAACCATCTGGAAGAGGCCGTCGATGGAGGAGTCGAGGAGAAACAGCCAGCATGGCTTTCTTGCGCGACCGGGGAGAAACCGTGGCGACGGATCTGGGTCGACATTGGGACGGGCTGAGACAGGCTGGACATACCTGGTGTTGCTTCTAAGAGGATTTCTTGCTACAATATATATATATATATGGGTGATAGACCTGGTTTTGCTTAAGGATGACAGATGGTATCATATGGTTACTGGTTACTGATGAGATATGCCAACCTCAACCGGTTCATACGTTTCACTACTCCCATCTCATTAGCATCTAGTATATGCTGGGTGATAGACCTGGTGTTTAAGATGTTTTAAGGATATCTAGAGGACATAATGGTGGAAGTCCCGGACTTCCCAATACCTGGTGAAGAGCGTGGAACTCTGGTTCCGCAAATCCGCTTGCATTTCCGATGTGGGTCGGATGACGTTGGCACCTCACGAAGTAAGGACCTGGTGGCGTGGATGACTGTTGGGTGAATAGTGTGGGGTGGGGTATAGCAATGGCTTCCAACTGCCGGTGAACATCTGAGCATGTGCCAGTTCTTGCCGCGCCTAGCCAGTTCTTGCTGGGGCGGTTTGATGTGTGAAAGCACCCTGCGACGTGGAGGGGGTTGTTTCTTTGGAGATCACCACCTTCCAGTGAATTTTGCTGATGTTCATGTGCCAGTCGGATGAGCCAAGTATAGAACCGATAACATAGTTTAAGTTTATTTCATAGCTCTGGCCCAGGCTCTGGCACATGATTTGTGTGGACGGTGCAGAGACAAGTCGTTTGGGATCGTTTGGGTCAGAACTTGTGACGCACCGACCGACTCTGGTGGTCTGACCGTGACTCGTTCTCCCCCCCATTCTTCCGGACGGATCGAACGTCAGGAGTGGTGGAAGGGTGTCCGGAAAGCCTCCATGTTCTGGCGTCACAAGCCCTTAGAGGCGGGTTCGAACATCGGTCGAGGATCGTTTTTTTGACGTCTGACAGGGCAACAGTCGATCTGACAGGTGAAACGTGAGCTGCAGCGCATGGACCTGCTACTGGTACGGGATTTCCTCCACTTGTTACTGGCTGAGTACAGCATCTTGGAAGATTTTGTGCCCTTGGGTTCCAACCACATCAGAAATATGTGGTTCCTCAGACAGGTTGGGGTGGGTGCCAGGTGTTGTTTGTCCCTATACCTTCCTTTTCGGACGTGGGGGCGCCCCTTTAGTGGCGCCTCGGCGAGCTTAGGTCGCTTTTGGATCGCCTTTGGAGCGTCTCCCACCCATGCAGTGGGGGATTCTGCAGGAACACCGAGATCAAACATCCATGATAAACACCGCCCTCGTCGACTGTTCCGTGGGTATCGTTTTGGCAGAGATGTGGTATCATTCCCAGACACGACTAATGGGACTGCCGTAAATGCCGATCAGTTGGGGTGGTTTTGGGGGTCAATGGGGCGGCATATAAGGCAGTCCCATGGATCGTCGTGTCTGGGATTGAGGGATTTTCTAACGAAGGAGCCGTTCGTCCTGGGATTCACGATGTGCTTTGCCTGGATCCTGGGTGAAGAACATGGTGTGGTCGTCGTCTCGATGGGTCAAGAGGACAGAGATCGATCCCTCCGGTCGCCCCAGACGTGGATGGAAAGCCGCCAGACGTGGTCTCCGAAAGCCCGGCTACACTTGGAATCTCAAGTGTTCCACGAAATCCCAGCAAATGGATGCAAATGGAGCGAAAATCCTTGGGAGATCTGGAACCACTGGCGGGCAACCTGAAAGACAGCTGCACATCAACACATCCTGCTCAGATCCCGAGTGAACCCGTCCCTTGAAGCCAAGGTCATGATCCTGGACCTTGACGACTGATCTCCTGTTTTCTGCAGCCGGATCTCCCTCAGATGCACACTCACTTCAACCATGAAGAGAAACATATGAAAGCTGAGTTGTTCTTGGGGGCGACGGTCCCCACAGCGCACGGTCCTAGCACGTCCCAACAGCTTGGAAGGGCTTCCCACCTGCGATGGGAACGGTCCCAGCACGACGGATGAAAGCCGTTGGAAGCCGTGCTCCGACCCCTTCACCTCCATTTCTTTGAACATGAAGAAGAACGGGCGAACCTGGTGATGAGTCCGAGCTTGAATCATCCAGGACCCTGGTGGACTTGGAGTTTGAACTCCATGAAACGGTCGCATGGGCGCACATGGCGCGCCCGTACCCGGGACTACTGGACGACGTAAACGGTGAACCAGGTCAACGGCGAGCGGGATGAAATGGGAGACACACATATCACATATCAAGATTAGGATCAGTTCATGCTAAGTTCATGCAATCTCAATCCAGGATTTCATGAACAAATATATGGCCTTATGTCGACAGAACTGCGTACTATGTACCGTTAGCGCACATACACCACATTGGTGCCTTGGTAAGCACTGGTTGTCCGTATCGTCGTTTGTGTTTGGTACATGAAGCTGCTCCGGTCATGAATGTGTGGAACACATGGGGTTTTCCATTGTTCAGTTCGGGGTAGCTGGGCCAAGAAATGCGGTTTCTGCGCTTGGAGCCTTTGGCAAGCAAGGGAATGCCACAAAAACGCTGTTTGTGGGGTCGATGGAGTTTCCTACCCCAAAAACCGGTCAAGTGAAGGAAGCAGCATCTGATATCAGCGTCACTTGTGGGATATTGAATACCTGAACAATCACTTTGTTCCGATCGAGCCCCAACAACACAACACCCTGAGGCCCCGAGGCTGCCCCGCCCGGAAAGTTCAATCTTCAATGTGTTTGTTGCACTTTTCCTTGGTGGGGGATTGTCACTCAACACCAGCATGCCAAAGGAGACCCAGCCGACGGCGGAACATCCGCGCTGCGCCACCTGTACAGTTGGCAGCGGACATCCAAAAAGTGCTTTTGCGCAAGAATCGATGAGTTTTGACACGTTTATTTGGTGCTAGATGAATGAAACCTGGAAACCCCAAAATACAGACATTCATGATTCCACAAGCAACCACTTGCTAATGTACAGGATCTCAATTGCCATATTGGAACAACATTGGTTTCTGGTTGTTTGGGGTTTCAGGCAGATCCAATCACATCAACTGGCTCGAAGCCCCAGAGGTAGGATATCAAGAGATCTAAACAAGCCTGGTCGCACCACTGAAAAAGAACGTGCGAGCATGATCTGAAGATTCCATTCGCCTTTGAGACCACGATCTGCAACTTGTGCAATTGTACTGTGCCTTTCTGAGTTGCCGAACGTGTGAGTAGCTCCTGAACAATTAAGGAGTTTTGGTGGTCACACGTCTTCATTTCATGGGGTGGGTGCATCGGTCACTGGTCGGATCGACAGAAGTGGACCGCATGATCCACGAGGGAATCAGTGCACATGTCCATGAGCCAAAACCATCGAAGGAAGGCTTATTGGGAGTATATTGGAGCGAACTTGAAAAAAGGGACGACCTGACAACCATGACCATTTTGCTGTGCACGGCATTCCGCACACAGAACTGGTGCAGTGGTCCGTAAAAAAGAATAGGGTGGATTTGCCCTAAAAAGGTTATGCAATTTGCACAGACTGGTAGGAGTTCTCAATCAGATTTGCTTGCTGCGAGTCCTGCACTCCAAAAACCCATTCCCCACTCCAAGTCCGTGTCCCGTCCGCGGCGGCTGGGCTGTGGGAGGTGAATTACTACTCGGTGCCCAACTCGCAGTATCCACCTCTCCTCAAGGCGATGGCCCGAAGCGTCCGGGATGACAGGACCTGTGGACTGGCATGTTTACATTCCCTAGGGCTTCTGGCCCATCTCCTTCGGAGGTGGTCTTCGACCCCGCTGGCACCCACCCCAACCATCGAACCGAAACGGAGGTGGGCCAGGAGCCCTGGGGATTGTCGACTCCCAGGTCAATCAAGCACCCCTGGCCTGATCGGACCCTGCCAGTCCCATGGAGTAAACCCGGCGCACGTTGGACGAAGCCTGCGACCCGGTGCGCATGGATGGGGACCCCGAAGAAGCGCGGCGTATTGGGTGCGAAAAAGCAGCTGAAGAAGCGCATCACCATGGGGGTTGTGACTTCAGCCCAGGGATCCACATACCTTCTCAAAAGGTACTTGGGCCCTCCTGGCGCCTACATAAATAGTCTCCAATCATTTTCTGAAGGGGGGTACTTGGATCCCTAGGGCTTCACATCATCGAAACAAACGTTTCTGGAGGGTGAAGGGTCGTCTAGTGCAGCCTGTCGTCTAGTGCAGCCTGTCCTAATAGAGTGGACCCGAACAACACCCGTCCCTGTGGCGACCCGTCCGTGACAGCAATCCCATTCGGACCTTCTCTGGGGCATCCGGGCGAGGGTATTCCCCGCCCGATCGATCCACCATCTTCCAAACACAACAGCGTATCCGAAAGAATTCAACAGTGATCCACCTCACTGGATCTCGTATCCTACTAGGAGCAAGGACGCTACTAGTAGCTCCTGGCCTTACTATAGTAACCGGAAGCTACTAGCAACAAAGGCCATCGCTGCTACCAGTAGCTCCTGGCCTTACTAGTAACCGGAAGCTACTAGTAACAAAGGCCATCGCTGCTACCAGTAGCTCCTGGCCTTACTAGTAACCGGAAGCTACTCGCAACAAAGGCCATCGCTGCTACTAGTAGCTCCTGGCCTTACTAGGAACTGGAAGCTACTAGCAACAAAGGCCATCGCTGCTACCAGTAGCTCCTGGCCTTACTAGTAACCGGAAGCTACTCGTAACAAAGGCCATCGCTGCTACTAGTAGCTCCTGGCCTTACTAGGAACCGGAAGCTACT